GCGGCGGTACTGTAACATTCGAGCCTTATAACTCGAGAAGTACTTAATGAAAAAATATTTTATTATAGTGGTTTGGAAAGCTCTCGAGATAAACTACAAGAATATTCAACGAAAAATGGGGCTTCCCATTTTAAAAAATGACCTTGACCTTCAAATGACCTTGAAAATGAAGGTCAAGGTCATTGTCAAGGTCATAGTTCAATCAACCCCTTCATATCCAACAATTTTTGTTTTAAACATTTTTTTATTTAATCGCGATGTTTCGAGTTATTTGGCTGTCTAAGTTGAAATGGGTCACCCTGTATAAGTACACATGTATCAGTAAGAACTGTCTATTTAGGCATGGCAAATTTCTGTCTCTTTTTGTTAGATATAGCAAAAAATGACGGAGTAGTTACATGTATATATGTAATACATCTATGTATTGATTATACATGTTATTATCCTGTTACATACTGATCTAAAATTGCATTGAATTTAGAAAAAAGTGCTACTACTGCCGTGTATTGACATACACTATCGATAATGAAAATCTGAATTTATATATATTATAGATTTACGATATTTTTAGTGCATATTGTATATTACACACATATCAGAGTAATATCTAAATATTTTATTATAACTTTTATTTCTTTTTATTAGAAATAATAAGAACAGATGGAGCAGCTATAAATACACGTGCAATGTATACATGTATCTATTGACACATTGTTGTTGCTTTTCAGAAAGCGACACAGTGTGACAGTGATCATGTCATCTTCGTACATTAGCAAACAACTAGGATATCACTGTATTAGGACGATATTTTATTTGTGCGTTTTTGTCGTACGACAAGCTTTTCCTGCGTGTTGATTGGCTATAGGATAGAGAAATCCGAGGACCTCTTTGTCTTGCATACATTTGTCGTACGACAAAAACGCACAAATGAAATATTGGCCTTACACTGTATCATCTGTCTCTTGCTTGAAAGCAACTTATATATTGACAGATATTCTAACCTAAAAAGGCATTGGACATAAGAACAAGTGCTATTAGAGGAAAGTTGGGGAACTGTGCGCAGCGGGTAATTGTGCGCATCCTGGTTTGGTACTTTTCCAATATATGAAGACATCACCGTGGCGAAATTTTTACGCAGGAAGTCGTCCTCTTAAGATATATCTACAAAAGATATGACGTACATACATCACTAGCCAGAGAAATACAAAAAAGTGAAATTACATTTTTTCTTGTTATTTTAGTATTCAGAAAATAAGGTGGTAATTCCGTATTTTTAATTTGTTTGTTTAAAATTGTACATGTTATTAAAGTACGTTATTATGTGCATCTTTTGAGCTGTTATTTATTAAGTTTGGTTAGGAATTGTTGAAGTAATCGTATTTCGTACCGAGTCAGGACGCGGCGGGTAACTATGTGCAAGCATTTTAAAATGCGCACAATTACCCATCTTTCATATACTGTATGACTAGCACTAGTTTTTTCGTTTCTTTTTGGCATTACTATTTTATTTTGCCATTTTATTTTGCCAAAGTCTATGTGCATTATTATTATATTAGTTTCGAATTTTTTCTTAATATATACAATGTACAATTAAAATATGTTTAATGTATATTTATATTGCAATATAATAAATATATGTTCTGATTTCTATGTCAACATTCACAATTCATTCATTTCTTACGATTTTTGTTTTGCGCATAATTATCCGACGCGCGAAAAATTTTTTCGCTTTTCCGTTTTTTCCTTTTTGCCAAATACAACCTTATTGAATGAAAATCTGTTCAAGATAAGAATACGTAATGGTAGAAGAATGTTTATAGTTTCTATTTTCATATTTATATCGCTTTGATCTTAGAAAACCATCCCAAGAAAACAAATATCCCTTAGGTACGCACAATTCGCCCACTTTCCCCTACAACCATGTTTCGATGAAATACTGTCAGTATTTAAAAAATCTATACATTATATATTACATATATTACAGATTTTTAGTACTGGGTGTATATCTATTATAACGCGATATTATTCAAGTTTGTCGCGTCAAATACTCGAACAGACTCGTTAGAGTGAGTAGAAGCTATGTGGTAGGCATGCGATAGCATGCGATATGAGGAAATGCCTTTGGCTTCAAGGCTAACGCGCTGTAGGGCGCTCAGAGGGCGTAAGCGTAAAGGCGTAAGTTTCAGAAAATCTATATTATCGACCTTGATTAACTTCGACTCCATCACTCCAGCATCCCCTTAAAACACCTATTGTAGATCCGGAGTAATGCTAATGGGCGTTTTCCAGCAAGAACACAATAGGTGCATTCAGTACTACAACCGCTCACTGAGCGCTCAGTGAGCAGTTGTAGTACCGAATACACCCAATGGTTGCGTTTAACAGATTCAACAGTTGAGTGAGTGCTCGCTATTGATGTATTCTTCCAAATCTAAAATGCTGATTGGATGATCTAAAAGAATACACCAATAACAGCGAGCGCTCACTCAATTATTGAATCCACTGAACGCAGCCAGTGTAACACAGTGAATCATTTCATCCTTGTTTAACGTTGACAAACAACGAGGATATAATGATTCATTGTGTTACGTTGTGTCCTTGTTGGAAAACTCTCAATGTTAGCGGTAACTGAACAAAAATGTATAGGTAACTTTGATACAATGTATCTCCATGATAAAAAATCATACAAAGCTTTATTGTATTTTTAATTGGCAAGAAAAAGTCCATACTTTACGATGATTATTATGACATTTACGAAAAAAATTTATTGGATTTATAGTATACGCGCTACAAAAAAATATAGCAATGGGAAAATGTTTCAAAAGCCAATATGAGCCGACACAAGATGTCAGTGTGCAATGATAATAATTTATTATAAATAAACTAAATTTAAACTAAATTTAAACGTTTCGACCTATGATCAAATTCATTATACTCAACAACAAAAAATTTTCTAAATAATAATCATAACATACTGTTCACAAAAGCTGACAAGGGCAATGTGGTGGTCGCTTTGGACAAACAAGACTATATGAATAAGATGGAACAGTTGTTTTCTGATCAAGACACTTATCAAATTTTGAAGCGTAACCCTGTGAATAAAACTTTGACTGAATTGAAATCATTGTTAAGGGTATGGAAGCAAAATGGATTCGTGCCTGATGGTACTTATTACAATCTCAATAGTTCCATTGCAACTTTACCACGTGTGTATGGACTTCCAAAGATTCATAAACCGGGTCATCCACTGAGAGTCATAGTCTCATCAATTGGCAGTCCTTTACATAACTTAGCCTCATATCTCCATAGCATAATTAAAAAAAGTCTATCTTCAGTTGACAGCGGTGTAAAGAACAGTTTTACATTGATTAAAAATATTGAAGGAATGAGAGTTCCTGATGAAGCATCTTTAGTTTCATTAGACGTAGTATCATTGTTTACTAATATACCAGTTGATTTGGTTTTGGATGGAATCTCTAAGAGGTGGCATCTTATAGAATGCAATACTGAAATTCCTAAAGTGGAATTTTTTAAAGCATTAACATTAGTTTTGAATTCTTCGTTTTTTACTTTCAATGATAAATTCTACAGACAGATATTTGGTGTTCCTATGGGCTCCCCTCTCTCACCCATATCGGCGGATATAGTAATGCAGGATCTTGAGAGTAACTCTTTAAAGAAACTTATGATCACTCCTTTGTTATACTTGAGATACGTGGACATACTTTTAATAATTGATGAGAGCCATATAGTTGAGATATTTAATGTTTTTAACTCTTATCATCCAAGACTAAAGTTTACAATTGAAAATGGTGGCAATTTATTGAATTTCTTGGATGTTTGTTTGATCAAAAAAGAAAACACAATAATTTCTGATTGGTACCACAAACCAACATTCTCGGGTAGATTTCTGAATTACTATTCATGGCATCCTTTGTGTCAAAAAATAGGTACTATTATTGGCATGACAGATAGAGTATTACTGTTATCTCATCCACTTTTTCATCAAAAAAATTTTGACTCAATTATAAAAATTTTAATGAATAACGGATATCCAATGGAGACACTGGTAGTGTCTCGACGCTAAGCTGCGCAGAGCGACACTGCCGTGCCTCCTTTACGCGAACCGACGAGTTGCGGCAGATCGCGATTATCGGATCTCAATAACGGCTGAACCGATCGCGTTCTATGAATGCTCAATCGATAGCCACACGAATTGTGTCATAAAAGTTCTATTTTTTTTCTACGTGCTCTACGAGCGGAGATATCGCGACGCAAAGTCCGGACTGTTGAATTTTCACCCATTTTTAAGATACGTCGTCGTTATTATTAATATTATTATCATTGTCATCGAAAAGGTGAAAATGTCCATCTTGTTTTTTCGACACTAGAGGGCTTTTGACTTAACCTAGCGATGGCAGCATTGCACATTCGAACGTGATCAACCACATATGACGGCTGTGATAATCAGCGATGGCAACATTGTCACATATACGATGTGACGTGATATAATTAATTAATTAATTGAAATTAAAATTAATAAAATGGATTAAAATAGAATAATAATTATAATTAAAATGAAATATCGTCGAGATTGTCGTTGATGAAGATCTAGGTATTTATCGCGTCGAGGAAGAGGGTGTATAGATATTCAGGAATTAAGCGTCTAGGTGTTCGCCGTCGAGGAATTAAGCGTCTAGATGTTTGTCGTCGAGGAAGTGGATGTCTAGGTCGAAGAAATGGGTGTCTAGGTGATCGCCATCGAGGAAGTGAGTGTCTAGATGTTCGCTATTGGGGAAATGGGTATCTAGGTGTTCGCCGTCGAGGAAATGGGTGTCTAGGTGTTCGTCGTCGAGGAAGTTTGTGTCTAGGTGTTTGCCATTGAGGAAATGAGTGTCTAGGTGTTCGTCGTCGAGAAAATGGATGTCTAGGTGTTCACCGTCGAGGAAGTGGGCGTCTAGGTGTTGTCTACATGTTCGCCGTCGAGGAAGTTGGTGTCTAGGTGTTCGCCGTCGAGGAACTAAGGGTCTAGATGTTCGCCGTCTAGGAAATGGGTGTCTAGGTATTCGCCGTCGAGGAAATGAGTGTCTAGGTATTCGCCGTCGAGGAAATAGGTGTCTAGGTGTTCGCCGTCTAGGAAATAAGGGTCTAGATGTTCGCCGTCTAGGAAATGGGTGTCTAGGTATTCGCCGTCGAGGAAATGGGTGTCTAGATGTTCGTCGTCGAGGAAATTTGTGTCTAGGTGTTTGCCATCGAGGAAATGAGTGTCTAGGTGTTCGCCGTCGAGGAAATGGATGTCTAGGTGTTCGCCGTCGAGGAAGTGGGCGTCTAGGTGTGCGCCGACGAGGAAGTGAGTGTCTAGGTATTTGCTATCGAAGAAGTTGGTGTCTAGGTGTTCGCCGTCGAGGAAATGAATGACTAGGTATTCGCCGTCGAGGAAATGGGTGTCTAGGTGTTCGCGGTCGAGGAAGTGGGCGTCTAGGTGTTGTCTACATGTTCGCCGTCGAGGAAGTTGGTGTCTAGGTGTTCATTGTCGAGGAAATAAGGGTCTAGGTGTTTGCCGTCTAGGAAATGGTCGAGGAAATGAGTGTCTAGGTGTTCACCGTCGAGGAAATGGATGTCTAGGTGTTCGCCGTCGAGGAAGTGGGCGTCTAGG